GAGGGCAGCAGAGCCATAAGCTCCTGCTGTCATCAGCCAAAATTCTGTTAGGAGGGAGTAGAGACATTGCTTACCTGCACTATGTGCATCTATAGGCACACATAGCCCGGCTCAGGAGCATGATTACATGGGTGCATCCTTAACACCCAGCTTGATGCAAGAGGCTGCCGAATGAGGGAGGAGCCCACAATGCCAGTGGGGTCTGCCAGAAACAGAGGTAAGTGACCTCTCTGCGGCATTGCATAGAGCAGGTAAGAATAACCTCTTGAATTTATTTTAAATAAATAAAAAGACTTCAGTGTCACTTACTGAGCTCAGACATGTCAAGAAAGGCCACAATAACAAGGTATGGTGACAGGTATAAAGAATATCAGAACTTTGCTGAGTTTTACATTATAGAATACAGAACACACGGTGCCACGGTGGCTGTATTTTTACAGCGTCATCACTAGGCAAGAGCTGGTAAAAAAATCTGACTAAAACGGCATTTTTTTTTTCATTTAAACATATTCATGGAATTGTGTCAAATCTGCATCCTAAAAATGAATGGATCAGGATTATTGGGATTGGATCTTGACTTCCGTTATGTGTGTGTTAGTGCTCATGTATATGGGATTAAACCCAATCTTACTCAGTCTCAGCCATTCCCATCGGTCCTCCCACTTGTCAATCATCTCTTTTCTCTTCTCAGTCAGTTGTAACAACTTTTCTTTTATCTACGGGTAAAGAAAACACCAAATTCAGCTGAATGAAACAAAAACTGATGTGTATGGTAAGAGAACAGTGTAAGCTGCAGTCAGAAAGACATTAGGAAGGTATATTATATTTACTTGATTTTAGTTTTTTTTTTTAATTTTTTTATTTTTTTAACATTTCTTTGATGTCCTCCTGGTTTCTGGCCTATGCCAAAATGTCGTCATACATCCCAGAGGTCTTTGTGGGCATTTTATTCCTTTCATCTGGAGGACAGGCTTTCTCAGCTAAGCACACCATCCTGTCTGCATTAAAAAATGATGGTGTGCAGCGCTAAATTGATATAATCAATATATAAAAATTGGCGTTAGAACATAGAATATTAATCAAAATTAAGATCATACGGTTAAAATATCAAGAGTTATAAAAATGTTCATCAGGTGACTGAGGTGCTCAATACTTCTGTGACTTCCAGAAAGCGGTGATTGTGCATACAGGTGTATAAGAAATGCGCACTCACTGGAACGCGCAAAATAGTGCGCGGTTTTTGTAATACATCCTGATGTCATCTAATGGTCATCATAGGGTAGGGTAGGAATCCAGTACACCTCCTCTTAAAGTGGATGGATCCTTGGGTTTAGGGGTGATGAACCAGGATTATCCAGAGTTCCCCTTTAAGGGATGGATGGGTGCAGCTCACTGGGCGTAGTGGAGGCTCCCTCTCTAGAGGTTAGGTGGTGGATAGCTGTGAATTATTACTTCCTAATGCTCCTTGTTGTATACCATATGGTCGCCTCCACTACGCCCAGTGTGCTGCACCACAACAGATCTCATGGTTGCGGTCACATGGCCCAGCCACGTGGTGACGTCACTGCTGATCAAGCCCTCAGCAGTGACATCAACACGTACGCCATGAGCACGTGGCTGGACCATGTGACTGCAACCACAAGATCTGTTGTTGAGAGCGGGTGTGAGACGCTACTGTTAGAGCTGGAGATTGTTTGCAGCTATGTCTATCATTGAATGCTGTAAGTTTGATTCTAAAGGGGGAATTTTGATACAATAAATTTATAAACGTTATTATGCTATGGCGAGTGTTCTTTATTAATCCACATATGGAATTGGATTATACTTACCTTGATGAAGTCTAAGTTGGATCAACCATCTGATGAATGAATAGTATTATCTGCATTAATCTAGTTTTTGATGAATCTTCCACATCTACTGATAGCTGATTGAAATGCTGATTAAACACCAGCATCTGGTGAGTTAGCACTTTGATGGGGTGTTAAGCACAATGAAAATCACGGTTGTGGCGAATACCTTTTGAAGAAAATTATATTTGGACAATATTTTTTTTTTATAGTATGGATTGATTCTTTCACTTTTTTGCACTTTTTTGGTGGCAGTCTATTTTTTTTTTCTGAATATTTATACATTATTTAAGGGGATATTTATATTATTTGAGAGCGCTGTTTATGGTATGTCCATTTATCTCCTAGATTGTAAGCTCCAAGGAGCAGGGTCCTCGAACCCCTCGTGTATCGCATTGTATTGTTATTGTACTGTCGCATGTTCTGTCTCCCATTGTAATGTACATCGCTGAGTGAACTGTTGGCGCTATATAAATACTGTATAATAATAATTTATATGCTTTTTAATGTCTAAAACAGCAGCTCTAATCACATATTTGATTAATAGTTATTTCATTATAATTATTCCACATTTTTTTGGCGTGGTGATATCAGCTATTAACTTAATAATATATTAATTTGTCAATTTAATATTGATATATTGATTTAATTTAGCTTATATAAAAGTTTTTTTAGTTTTTTTGCTATGTACAGTCAGGTCCATAAATATTGGGACATCGACACAATTCTAACATTTGTGGCTCTATACACCACCACAATAGATTTGAAATGAAACAAACAAGATGTACTTTAACTGCAGACTGTCAGCTTTAATTTGAGGGTATTTACATCCAAATCAGGTGAACGATGTAGGAAATACAACAGTTTGCATATGTGCCTCCCACTTGTTAAGGGACCAAAAGTAATGGGACAATTGGCTTCCCAGCTGTTCCATGGCCAGTTGCATGTTATTCCCTCATTATCCCAATTACAATGAGCAGATAAAAGGTCCAGAGTTCATTTCAAGTGTGCTATTTGCATTTGGAATCTGTTACTGTCAACTCTCAAGATGAGATCCAAAGAGCTGTCACTATCAGTGAAGCAAGCCATCATTAGGCTGAAAAAAAAAAAAAAAAACCCATCAGAGAGATAGCAAAAAACATTAGGCGTGGCCAAAACAACTGTTTGGAACATTCTTAAAAAGAAGGAACGCACCGGTGAGCTCAGCAACACCAAAAGACCCGGAAGCCGGCGGAAAACAACTGTGGTGGATGACCGAAGAATTCTTTCCCTGGTGAAGAAAACACCCTTCACAACAGTTGGTCAGATCAAGAACACTCTCCAGGAGGTAGGTGTATGTGTGTCAAAGTCAACAATCAAGAGAAGACTTCACCAGAGTGAATACAGAGGGTTCACCACAAGATGTAAACCATTGGTGAGCCTCAAAAACAGGAAGGCCAGATTAGAGTTTGCCAAACGACATCTAAAAAAGCCTTCACAGTTCTGGAACAACATCCTATGGACAGATGAGACCGACATCAACTTGTACCAGAGTGATGGGAAGAGAAGAGTATGGAGAAGGAAAGGAACTGCTCATGATCCTAAGCATACCACCTCATCAGTGAAGCATGGTGGTGGTAGTGTCATGGCGTGGGCATGTATGGCTGCCAATGGAACTGGTTCTCTTGTATTTATTGATGATGTGACTGCTGACAAAAGCAGCAGGATGAATTCTGAAGTATTTCGGGCAATATTATCTGCTCACATTCAGCCAAATGCTTCAGAACTCATTGGACGCTTCACAGTGCAGATGGACAATGACCCAAAGCAGACTGCAAAAGCAACCAAAGAGTTTTTTAAGGGAAAGAAGTGGAATGTTATGCAATGGCCAAGTCAGTCACCTGACCTGAATCCGATTGAGCATGCATTTCACTTGCTGAAGACAAAACTGAAGGGAAAATGCCCCAAGAACAAGCAGGAACTGAAGACAGTTGCAGTAGAGGCCTGGCAGAGCATCACCAGGGAAGAAACCCAGCGTCTGGTGATGTCTATGCGTTACAGACTTCAGGCTGTAATTGACTGCAAAGGATTTGCAACCAAGTATTAAAAAGTGAAAGTTTGATTTATGATTATTATTCTGTCCCATTACTTTTGGTCCCTTAACAAGTGGAAGGCACATATGCAAACTGTTATAATTCCTACACCGTTCACCTGATTTGGATGTAAATACCCTCAAATTAAAGCTGACAGTCTGCAGTTAAAGCACATCTTGTTCGTTTCATTTCAAATCCATTGTGGTGGTGTATAGAGCCAAAAATGTTAGAATTGTGTTGATGTCCCAATATTTATAGACCTGACTGTATGTCATTGTATAATTATTCCGGCTTTCACCACGAGCGCTCTGATTTCCTTGGTTTGATGAAAGAGCCAAGCAGACAAATCCCCATTACCTCTTAGAAGTTGAGCTTTCTTCCGATATATAATGCTATAAAATGCTGCATTAGATTTGCACAAAAAAGCTAAATTCCCCATCTTTACAGGCCATAAAATTTAGCATTTTATTTTCCACAATCCGGAAACACAGCAGTCAATCACATTGGGGGTCGGAATACAGTACAAAAGGCGGTAAAAGGCTGTAGAAGTTCTATTACAGTAGATTTGCTAAGCGCAGGGAGAACAGTAGCCAACCTTCCTTCTGATGATGGGGTTTGTCTTTGCAGCAGCCAAGTACATGCAGATCTGCAATGCAGCTGAGCTATAAATTATCTGGGCGGATTACCTCTTCCGTTGCATAGTGCTTCCTCGCCAGCAGAGACTTGCCGAGCTCAATGCATGTAGTAAAGCTGTCATTCCGGGCATCAATTTCAGCTTTAATGCCCTGGTGATTATTCATAAGCAGTTCTACTGAAGAAACGTCCCTGCAATGGCAAACAACACAATGAATTGTACGCGGCTCTACAGAATGCAGAAAAGTAGGAATGCAGCGCGCTATGCTGTAGTAATCGGCAGGAATCTGAATTTATAATCTGGTTTGTGAAGACGACAAGGTCAGATCATCTTCATGGGAAAAAATAGATTTTTGGTTGTTTTTTTCTTTTTTAAAACGGAGTTCCACTCACCTGTCAAAAATTAAAAAGTCAGCAGCTACAAACAACTGTAGCTGCTGACTTTTAAATAACAGCCACTTACCTGTCCCTCGGTCCCGTGGTGTGTCCCCCGCAGCCCGTTTCACCGGCCGTCCTGGATTCCAGGAGGCCGGCATCTTTAGTGTGGGCACCCGGCTGTGATAGCTTGCGGCTTCACAGACGGGTACCCACTGCGCATGCGCGAGTAGCGCTGCGCTTCATGAATGGTCCTGTAGTCTTCTGGGACCTGTCACGTGTCCAAAAGACTACAAGGAGGGAGGACGTGAGGACACCTGCCGTTTCCGATCGCCAAGGCCAGGGGTGGGCAACTGTGGCCCTCCAGCTGTTGTAGAACTACAAGTCCCATGAGGCATTGCAAAACTGACAGTTACAAGCATGACTCCCAAAGGCAGAGGCATGGTGGGACTTGTAGTTCACCAACAGCTGGAGGGCCACAGTTGCCCACCCCTGGCCTTGGCGAGCAGACCGGAAATGGGAGCGGGTACCTGTCAAATGCGGGTACCCGCCCCCCAAAAGGTGCCAATCCTTAAGGGGGAGCAGTCCTTAAAGCGGAACTTCCCCTTTTGGGTGGAGCTCCGCTTTAGGTTAAAGCAGAGTTCCACTCGAAAGCAGAAGCTCCACTTATTTGCCCTCCCTCCCCCCTTCACTGCCATATTTTGCACCTTTTTGGGGGGAGCAGATACCTGTTTTTGACAGGTACCCGCTTCCATTTCTGGTTCAGTTCGCTGCAGCGAAGTAAGCTGGAAGTGCGTCCCACTCCTCCCTCCTGGGAACCTTCACAGGCCCCGGCAGACTGCAGGACCAATTAACGCAACTATCGCATGCGCAGTGGGCACCACTCGCGCAAACGGTCACAGCCTGGCGCCCTCAGGTGAGATGCCAGCGCCATGGAGGAGAGAAGAGGAGAAGGAACGGCGCGGACTCCGAGACGGGTAAGCGTGTGTTTACTAAAAGTCAGCAGATACAGTTTTTGTAGCTGACTTTTAATAAACACAACAAAGGCTGGAACTCCGCTTTAAACTGATTTTTTATGTTTGCAGTCCTTGTTATAAAATGAAATATCTTCTCTGGGATTATTTCTAATTTGTTCGTATATACTTATCTTTTCGATTTTTAGTTCACCTCATTTTATACACAGAGGTATAAAAAACACACCACCATGCATTTCAGCAGCTTCTCCATTGAACTCTACTGTAGCAAAAACGCTTTTTGCTTTTAAAAGTCCCTGCAAAAAGCATTAAAAAATGCATTGGTGTGAACGAAGCCTAAGGCCCAGGGGAGGACTGACCATTTGGAAACTCGGGCACGGGGTCAGTAGGGGGCCCCATGAGATGCTCCTGGTACCTTTTTCATAGGCTTTTTTGAGTTTGGGCAAGGACACGGGCCATTGATCCCCTATTGCCCGGGGGTCCCATGAGTTGTCAGTCTGCCCCTGCTAAGGCCCCATTCACACTTACCAATTACATGAGGAGGTTCCTGGTGATTGGCTGAGGGTGGTGGTGGCAGCGGCCCCATTACAGCTCCTGCAGGTAGTACCAGGGCCTGAAGGACACAACTTATAAACTAAGTTGGCTCCTTTAGGACCCATTCACACTTAACAAATACAAGTGGTAGACCCAGCAGGAGGTCCTGGCAATTGGCTGTGGGTGGCAGCCCCACTTAAAGCAGGTAAACGCAGCCACTCGCATGCAATTCCTCATGGAGCGACTACCTGCGATGACTGGCTCTGAATGCAAAAAGTCTGCATCCAGGGCCAATCTTTGCAGGTAATTGCTCGATAAGCGATTACATGCAAGTATCCAGGATTAGCTGCAAGTATGTATGAGGCCTTAATAAAAGTCTATTAACATCGCAAAACATAAATGTAAAGGTTTCAGTACTGAATACATCAACAGAAGCTGAAACATCTGCAAAGATTTTACAAATTTGGGTCCAACTTTGAACAAAAATGGTTAGATATGGAAACTGGAGTTGTCCTCTGAGCTTTAAATGTGGTAATTAAAAAACTAAAATGGAATTTTTTTTTCTTTTTTTGGGGGGGGGCGCGCGGTGGTAGATCAATGTATGGCATTAAGGTGTGTTAACCTCCTCATTACTGGAACCCTTTTCCCAAATGTTAAAAAATGCATTTTAGGTCTGAAGATTAGTTAAACCCCCCAAACATCAAATACCCTAGTGAATAAAATGGTGATAGTTACAATTTATGCTGCATTTTAATGCACATTTTAAGAAAAAAAAATTAGTACACACAAACACAATTTATTGCCCAATGTTTGGTAAAATTTATAGATGAGTGTCTATTCACTTGTCACAATCTCAATATGTTGAGCTATAAAATTGGGCAAACCCATGAAACGACGACAAACTTTAGCACCTAAAATTGTCCATAGGCATTGTTTAAAAGCCTCTATATGTCATCAGTCTAGGGCAGTGGTGGGCAACCTTTTTTTTCAACTGAGCCAAATCTCGCCAAAACCACGATTGAAATTTATTTTGAGAGCCACATTTTTAAAACTGAAAAAATCTCATCATCCCCCATAGAGTAATTCATCCCCCATAGAGTAATTCATCCCCCATAGAGTAATTTCCCCCATAGAGTAATTCATCCCCCATAGAGTAATTCATCCCCATAGAGTAATTCATCCCCCATATAGCAATTCATCCCCCATATAGTAATTCATCCCCCATATAGTAATTCATCCCCCATATTAATTCATCCCCCATATAGTAATTCATCCCCCATATAGTAATTCATCCCCCATATAGTAATTCATCCCCCATATAGTAATTCATCCCCCATATTAATTCATCCCCCATAGTAATTCATCCCCCATATAGTAATTCATCCCCCATAGTAATTCATCCCCCATAGTAATTCATCCCCCATATAGTAATTCATCCCCCATATAGTAATTCATCCCCCATAGTAATTCATCCCCCATAGTAATTCATCCCCCATAGTAATTCATCCCCCATAGTAATTCATCCCCCATAGTAATTCATCCCCCATATAGTAATTCATCCCCCATATAGTAATTCATCCCCCATAGTAATTCATCCCCCATAGTAATTCATCCCCCATATAGTAATTCATCCCCCATATAGTAATTCATCCCCCATATAGTAATTCATCTCCCATATAGTAATTCATCCCCCATATAGTAATTCCCCCCCATATAGTAATTCCCCCCCCATATAGTAATTCATCCCCCATATAGTAAGTCCCCCCCATATAGTAAGTCCCCCCCATATAGTAAGTCCCCCCCATATAGTAAGTCCCCCCTGTGTCAATTCACTTACCTTTGCTCCGCGCGTTCCTCTCGCCGTGCTTCCCGCGCCGTTCTGGTCTTCAGGGCGGACTGTGAGAGGAGAGGAGTTCGTCACGCTGCCCCGCCTACATCCTGGCTGCCCCGCCTACATCCTGACAGCTGCAGAGTCCTGACTTTTGGGGCGGCCGCCCGAGAGGAGGGAGGGGAGCGGGCGGCCGTCCGAGAGGAGAGGAGGGGAGGGGAGGGGAGGTGAGGGGGCGGCCGCCCTGCACACGCCCGTCCGAGAGGAGGGAGAGGAGGGAGGGGAGCGGGCGGCCGTCCGAGAGGAGGGAGGGGAGAGGAGGGAGGGGAGGGGAGGTGAGGGGGCGGCCGCCCTGCACACGCCCGTCCGAGAGGAGGGAGAGGGAGAGGGGAGCGGGCGCCCGGCACACAGAAGAGCCGCATTTAAGCTTGTAAAGAGCCGCATGTGGCTCGCGAGCCGCGGCTTGCCGACCACTGGTCTAGGGGTAACCATGAATGATGGCCCTAGAAGTATTGCTCTCACCCGGAAGTTCACAGAGATATGTAATGTGTAGCGCAGTCGGCGGTTTCATATGCAGACGCACCCACCACATGCGTTTATGATCTTCCTCCACTTATCTCCACTTTATCCAAAACTATCTTTTTGGTTTTGGAAGAAGTAGATGGATTAGAACAGCTGTCGGGTTTTTATTGTGGTCTGTGCCCCGTTTGGAAGATTCACCCTTTTTAATTGTCAAATTTTCTCATCAAATGTGAAAGTAAAAAAAAATCCCCAATTTTGGGTGGCTTCCAGAACAGTAATAGAGGGGAACTCTTTCAATGAGGACTCTAACTCTGCTGACAACTAGGGATTCCCTTTGGAGGGATTTCCTCTCACTTCCTTGTGTGGCTATGGCACAGGAACTAAAAGAGAAATCTCCCCACAGACGGCAAAAAAAAAAAAAAAAAAACCCTGACGGGCTATAACCCTTCCTTACCCTAACTAAAATTAAAAAAAAGTTTTTCTTAGTATAACATTTAATATCGCAATACAGCCACCCAAATCATTTCCACCTAAATTCTCATTGCTGGCTGAAAAAAAATATAAAAATGTTGTCGGGAGTGTATTTAGAATCCTGGTCTACCAACTGCCATTTATAAACAGCTTTGGTGGTCAGTGGTTAATTTAAAAACTTTTTTCAAATGGTATTTTTTATGAGGGATTGTTCATTTTTTATTTATTACAGGTACTTATATAGTGCGGTCAATGTATGCAGAGCTTTACATATATATTGAACATTCACATCAGTCCCTAACCCTCAAGGGGTGTACAATCTAAGGTCCCTAACTCACATTCATACATGCACATACTAGGGACAATTTAGACAGGAGCCAATTAACCTACCAGCATGTCTTTGGAGTGTGGGAGGAAACCGAAGTACCCGGAGGAAACCCACGCAGGCACAGGGAGAACATGCAAACTCTATGCAGGTAATGCAGTGGTTGGGATTCTAATCAAGGACCCTAGTACTGCTGGGCGGAAGTGCTAACCACTTGGCCACTATGCTGCAATTGCAAACTCCTAAATGGATGACAATAGGTCACTATTAATTAGGAGGGGTGAGTTGCTCTATATGAACAAATCTAAGGAGGGGGGAGGTTGTCTTCACTCGTATTGACCATTGGAATGTTTGCTGCTCTATGGAGATTGGATTCATTTTTGGATGAGTAGATGCCTGGGGGAAAGGGATTCGGTAAGGAATCACAAGTAATTGATGAGATATTGCTTGTTGCCATTGTTTTAAAAACGAGTCTAAAATTTTCTTTACCTATGACCACTAGCCATTCCATTCTCATTATAGAATTTAGAGTAAATTAATATTTCGATCTCATCAGTCCAAGAGCGGTGTTCAGGGTATACAAAAGCACATGGACGGTGTCATTGCCAACTTGATAAAAACTGCAAGTTCTTGGGCTGTCAGCTTGGGAACTGGCATTTCCTAAAACAGACAATGGTAACACTGCCAAGCTGCGGTTTCTAAAGCGAGTAAAATCCTCTCTTGTAAAAAGAGGTATAGACTCCATTGAGAAAGATATCATTCCCCCGGTACAAATCATTAGTAAGACCTCATCTGGAATATGCAGTTCAGTTTTGGGCACCAATTCACAAAAAGAACATTGGGGAACTGGAGAAAGTACAGAGAAGGGCAACCAAACTGATAAGAGGCATGGAGGATATCCAGCTATGAGGAAAGATTAGAGGAACTGAAATGTATTCTCTCTTGAGAAGAGGAGATTAAGGGGGATATGATCTCCATGTATAATACATAA